GAGAGGATTCACTGGCGACAGAGTAGGGGGCAGAACAGGTAGATCTACTGAAATACACTGCTGAGGGGAGCAGTGGAGAGGCAGGAGAAGTCGGCTGTGCCCTGTGGTCACCCCCCTGGCCTGGGATCGAGCTCAGGCTGCAGTGGCTGAGGCTAGCTCCATAGTGCTGTGTCTAACCCCTTGTGCCACCGGGGAGGCCCTATATATCTTTATAGCATGTACATCAGCCCACTGCAGTTGTCAAGGGACTATTGTTCATCCTTCCTATCTCAAAAGTTGCTGCTCTATCGCTTTAGTTCATTTTGGAAAGTTTGCCTACTTTGTTAAGCTTGTTAAGCTGACACCTGGTTCTGACATTTGCCCTTATCCTCCCCCTCGCCCCCAACCCACCTAAACCCATGCTCAGGCCTACACATCGCTTTATACCATATCCTCTACATCACCCTAAGAATCAAGGGTCAGGCTGGTCCAAGACCCCAGGCAGTGTCTCCCAGGCCCTGAATTCTCATGTCCTTGCAAATCAAGAGAACAAGCTCACAATCTTATGCCGTCCCCTGTTACTGGACTGTACCCTTCAGCCTTCACGCACTTCAAACACACATGAGCAGGTGCAGCAGACAGTTAACTACAGCAAAAAGCAGAGAGATGGGAAGGGGTGCCCCAGAGTCTGTTTACCCAGAAAGATGTGGTTGCACGGTGAACCTCTGAGCAGACTCTAATTCTAGTCTTTCTTTCTCTCGCTCTTTCTTTCCCCTTAGCAAACTGCCTAGCTGGGCCAGAGCTGTCGTTCCCAAAATATTTTACGTCACAGAGAAAGCTTGGAACTACTATCCCTACACAATTACAGGTAAGTTCTTGGTGCAGCCAGCCGGTCACTTGCCCGCAGTGAAGACAGAGCAGTGGTGGGATCCCACTGATTTGGGGTGGCTGAGCCACCCAGGGATTTACGGAGTCAGTCTGTGGCCCTTATCCTTTGCCATCATCCTTCAGGCCTTCCTCACAGGGAATGGGTGGTAGGGTGTAAGGTAAATCTTCCATCTTCCTCCTTACAGTGATAGTTGTTTATGGGAAAGGGAAATGAAACTTTTTTTGGTGACATTTGTAGGGGCTACATTCTTATTTCTCCCTGTTTTCCTCAGTGTTCCCCAAGTAAGCTCTGGGTGTGGTTCGTTAATAAAGTACTTCTTATAATTTGTTTCACGGTTTGCCACCAAAAAACCACCCAACTAAAACCAACCAACCTTGACTGTAATTTGTGTAGATTCTGTTGGGACTCTATCCCAAGCCATGTTCTTAGCAATTGTGTAATATGAGTCTTTATGGCCCTTTTCTACTCACTTGGGGAGTGATAGTGACCTATGTGCTGATATTGAACTAGAAACTGTGGCCCCCCAAATTCAAGATCCCACTTGAATATCACATCAAATTCTTATTGGTTATAAAAGCTCCACTGAAAGGATCCATTGTGGTTAATGAAATGCTCTACTGAAATGATTAGCCTTTAATTCTGCTTTTATAATGCCAACTCTTTGGGTTTAATTTGCCACAAACCTATATGCTAAATTGAGTCTTGTCTTACATCCCTTATCAGCCCAACCACAGAAATAGCCTCTGAAAGAGTTTCAAGAGCAAATAGCGAGATATTCGCCATTTATGAAAATTTAATTTGGGGGAGATTTCTCTACCACACTTTTAAGAATTGTAATTTATCAGTATGTGTTAATTTTGTGGTTTTATATTGTATCCGATCTCGATCATGATTTTGTCTCTTTTTTTTTCCCCCCTTTTCCATCTTGACCAAATGAATATCTGCGACTAGAATACACGGTAAGTTTCATTTAATCATTTTTATATATTCAGCCTAAGATCAGTGGGGTAATTGGAACGTCCTTTGTACTTTTCATCTTATCAATGTAATAAAAAAAATAGAGGAATGATTTAGAATCAGAAATATTTAAATTAGGCTATTACACAGTTCTATATAATACAATAACTGGAATGTTCTCATTGAAGGTTAATTCAAAATGCCCTGATAGTCACTTTACTTCGTTAACTTTTGCTTCTGTGTTAGATAGCTTGACTGTTGTTCTTGTGATCATTCACTGTAATAGAAGAATAGTTTCTAGAAACATGGCATTAAAGAGATGATGGTCTTTACCCACGGGAGGTGAACCTAGGACTGACAGGCAATGGTCTGCTCCTTCTTGGAGAACCTTGGCGCCGGGAAGGCCTCCTTGCCACTGCTTTACTCAAAGCTCTGGGTTGGACATCATCGCTGGCTTGAATCCCAAGAACCTGTCCATCATTACTAAAACTGAAAACATAGGAGGGGAGGAAATAACCTCATAATATCATTGTGTTGTGGGCTCTTCACTTGACCGTTTTCCCAACAATGGCCAGTAGACCAAGCTGCCGTAACAAGAAAAGGTTTAACTGAGCTGGGATGGAGTTGAGCTTTTGGTTTTAAGCAAAACAAGCAAAAGAAAGAGAGCTACAGTAAGAGAGAAATGAAAGAGAATGACTCACTGTGTCCTTGGTGGGCACATAGACCCTCACATATAGGGGGGAGCACAATTAATAGTCGCTGAATCACAGACTGAATTCATGAGTCACAGGCACAGTCCCAACAGGTCCATACAAGTGTCACTGACTTTGCAGTCACAAGGTGGCCTCTGACGCTGCCACTGACTTATTAGCTGAAGTTCTGAGACGAGTAACCCCCCAGTTTCCCGTTCTTGAGTTCACGCTGGTGCTGGGCTTTCTTCTCAGCTGTCCTTTTGCTAAGTTGAAAAAATGGAATAGTGCTTTTCATAAAAATGTTTCAAAGATCTCCGTAAAATAAAAGGTACTCCACTCAAAGGATGGTTGGTAATGATGCCTCTCAGTGTTGGGTGTTAAAATGACTTTCATGACATGATAGAAGTGTATTTGAATATATTTAGAAATAAATGACATTTCTATATATAGAAATAAATGTCATTTCCCCTGATGTTAAAAAAAAAGCCCAATTATATGGTAAAATCCACATTTTGCATTTTAGAAGCCAGGGAAGCTCTGCTCTAAAACAGTTTGACTTGTCTGAGCCTAAATCGCTTCATCTCTAAACATGGGATAATTCCTCTTCCAGCTGTTAGTGGAGGACTCAGTGATCTCATGCAGGGGCTGGAATACTTTTTCTCTAAAGGGTCATATGGTAAATATTTTCCACTTTGTGAGCCAAGCAGTCTTTGTGACTTTGCAGGCAGCCACAGACAACAGAGAAAGATGTTGGCACGGTGTATTGGCTCAGGCAGCCAGCAGATTCGGCCCCCAGGCTGTGGTAGGCCAGCCCCTGATCTAATGTATAGAAAGCTGTTAGCACATTGTCTGGCAATTAAATGGTTCCTTGCCAACACTGGCCCCAGAGCTGCTGTTTCTGGGAATTGCACACTTTCCAAGAGGAAGACTTTGGAATCTATTGGATCCTGCCTCCATTAGCATCTGGGCAAATGACTTCCCACCCAGCCTCCCTTTCTTCATCTGTAAGTGGGGAAAATGTAATAGCTATCTGGGAAGAGTGATGTGAAGATTCTATTAAATAACCTGCATAAAGTCTTAGCTCAGGGCATAGTAAGTGCCCAATAAATGCTTGTCGTTATTGTTTATTGGGCAGTGCTGGATGCTGCCGTCATTAATATAAACGTTTATATATTATATCTTAGTGCCCTTCAATGCAGACTGGGCTCCTGCTACTAGACTAGAAAGTACTAATTGTCTAGGAGATGATTTGGCTTTATTTCTATTCACTTCTCTAAAAGCCTGTGTTTGGACTTTTCATTTGAAATATGATTGATGGTTACACACAAGAGAACCCCGTCCCTATAACTACGCAAAGGCAGCTATTTGCCTGGTGAGCCTTAGAGTCAGGTCACCTTGACTCGACCCAAACTGATGGCCTTTATTCTCCATAAGCTCGTGGCAGTGCCATAAGATGCGGGGATGATTCATTGCAAAAATCAAGCCTGGAGAATGTTTAATAATATTGGGTTCATTTTGAAGAATATGTATGAAGTACTGAGGTTCTGGGAGTGGAATGCAGCCACGACTCCTCACAGAACCCCCCGACCCCCAGGCATGCACACGGCAGGATCCCTGCCGTGACAACCTCTCTGGGCAGCCCTGTCACTGTACCACGTCTGTGCAGCCATGTTGGATTTAGGGGGAACACGACGCCTTTCCGACTTCTTAGCCTCTGCTTCACAACACTCCTGCAGACCCGAGCGCACCATTGAGACTTTAAAAGACACAAAATGCTTTATCCCTCTTTGAAAATATTTGGAGGTAAAACAAAGAGTTGAGAGTTGTGTAGTCAAACCTGCATCTCTTGCTGTTTGACTCTATTACTTGATTTCTTCTAGGCCCTCATTTGGGGAGGGGTGCTCCCTAATATCCAATCCTTGAGATGGCTTCCTAGGGCTGCCTTAGTGAAGCAGCACAAACCAGGTGACTTGAAACCAGAGTCCTATTTTCTGGTAGTCCTGGACATGGAAGTCTGGACCGACTCATCAGCAGGCCCTGTGGGGGTGGGACCTGGGGAGGAGGTAGGAATCCTTTTCCTCCTCCAGCTTCTGGGTTCCCAGCATCCCTTGGCTTGTGGCAGCCTGACTGCGCCCTGCCTCCGTCTTCACATCGTCTCCCTCGGCGTGTTTCCATACCTTCCCACAGCGTCCTCTTTGCTGTCTCTCCTCTTCTCAGAAGAACACCAGTCAGATTAGATGAGGGACCGCCCTGGTCCAAAATGATCTGATTCAACTAGTCACCCTGGCGACAACCCTAATTCTAAATAAGGTCATGTTTTGAGGAACTGAGGTTAGGACTTCAAGATAAGGGGGGTGGGGAACACACAGTCAAATCCATGATACCATCTTTCAATTTTAGGCTAACAGTCATTTTATTGTTTATTACAATGAGGTATAAAGCATCACGCTCCCTTGAAGGCTTCACTGACATAACTCAGCCCTCTGGGGAATCACAGTCGGATGAGAAATAACTAGACATTCTGGGCAAAATTTGGGAGTGAACAGCAAGTGATGATTTTCTTCTGATGGCAAGACAGGATGGGCCACCTCCCAGGCCAAGGGACACTAGAGACCTGCCCACTGAGCTGGAAGAGCAGGGCGGAGGTTCAGACAGAGGGCAGGATGAATGGCACCATCGAGTCTGGCCAAACAAGCAATTCAACATGATCCTGATCTCTGGCTCAAGGCCTTGAACTTCAGGGACAGGGTTCTAGGCTTCTGTGTAGCCCCCTTACACAGACGGCTTGATCATGCGGTGCCAGGGAGAAACTGGCCAGTTTTAGCAAATAAAACACAGACTGTCCAATAAAATCTGAATTTTCAGATAAACAGCTAACAGTTTTTAGTACACCTATATCCTGAATATTTCTTTAGGTAGTCATACACTCTAAGATTGTCCATCTCTTATTTTATCCAGCCCTCCTGCGGGGTGAGGGGGTGGGAAACCTCATACTTAATGTATATTCTTAAAAATAAACATAATATCATTACTATCAGAGACACCTGTATAAAAATCAGTTCTGAGAACGGGGGCACATGGGTAGGGCAAGGGATAGAGCATTGTGTAACTCGGGAATCTATCTGGCCATGGACATGCTCTGTTAACATCAGCCCAGTGAAATGACCTGTCAGAACAGGAGATGAAATGGGCTAGAAAGTTGGGTAGAAAAACTAGTGACATAACTGACCATATTTCAAGGGAGATTGGTGCCCAGTGTTATAGCTGAAACTCAACCAATATTGAAAAAGAAGCAAGAAATCAGCCTGGGAGAAATATGGGGTAACTCTCAGAGAAGGTGAGGTTTGGGCTGACCTTAGGGACAGTAGAACTCCTACCTGGAACACACATCAGCTTCGTCTGAGTCACCTTGACTTGCATAAATCAGGTGGTTTGAGCAATAGATATTTTTCTCACAATTCTGGGTCCATGGCCAAGGTAGGGTCTCTGAGTCACTTCCTGAGTCTGCTTCCTGGTTTGCAGACATCTGCTTACTTGCCATGTTCTCCCAGGGCAGGGAAAAGAGCAGTCGGCCCTCCTGTCTCTTCGCAGAAGGTACTGGCCCGGTCTACCCCTAATCCCTTCCCAAAGCCTCCTGAAAAGCCATCATGTCGGATGTGAGGGCTTCAATCTGGTTATGGGCAGGGTGCAGTTCAGCCCACCGAGTGCGCATTCCAGACCCCTGGGCAGGTGCTAGCAGAGATTCTGGCTGCCTGGACATGCGGAGACCAGTTCTCAGCAGCTTTCAGTGTCGGGCGAGGTCTGGACTTACTTCTCCATAGGGAAGCTACATTGTTCCTGGCTAGTCCTCTTTAATTTTCCATCCCAAATATAGGACAGCTTTTCTTTCCATCTCTGCAGTGACCGGGGCATCCGTTTTCTCTCTGGATGCAGGTGCTCTCCGAGGCCCGCAGTGTTCATTTTAAAGCTGCCTCGCCCCACCCCGCACCCCCCCAACTCTGCACTCAGCTGTGTTTCCACCCCTCTGCCCACCACAGCCCCAGGGGAAGAGCCCACTCTTCTGACTATGGGGTCTGCTCCCAGGATTTAAGACAGATGCTTGCAGTCTCTCCATCTCTTTTCCTGTTTTTGTGCTTTTTTTCACTGGCCTCTGCATTCTGCAAGCCTTTCATCCAAAATACCTCTTTTTGATGTCATTCTGAGCCCTATATTCCACAATTCTATCTTTGCCCAAAAGTAAAACCTCCCCAGTGCAGACTTCCCTGTGAGGCCGGTGAGCATGCCCTGCTCCCCCTCCCTCCGTGGAGCAG